CTGCATGTTAATCCTAAAGTGAGCTGCGTGAAATTGATGTATGGGTGCATAAACAACTGTCTGGGGTACACTTTTTTTTATTGTTTAATTGATTCTTAAAAGTTGATTTGCTTAATTGATGATGAAAATACGAATTATTATTATTTTTTGCTTGTTTAATTGATTTGTACAAGTTGATTTGTTTAATTGATGTGTAAGTAATTATTATTTATGCTTGTTTAATTGATTGAAATGTAAAAGTTGATTTGTTGATTTCAATATGCATCATATTGAAGACAAAAGACTTGTTGAATGTATACTTTCGCAACGCTAAACTCAAAATCGCAACGCTAAACTCAAAATCGCAAAGCGAAAGCCAAAATCGCAAAGTGAAAGTCAATTCGCGTTGCGAAAGTTAATTAGCATTGCGATAGTCTAATACGCTTTGCGATTTTCTCGTTGCGATAGACAAATTCCCGTTGCGATAATCAAATTCACGTTGGGATAGTCAAATTCGCGTTGCGATAGTCAAATTCACGTTGCGATATTCAAATGAATGTGTAATAAGTGATAACAACTGAACAAATCATAACAATGTTCAAACTCAAGTTACTAATACATGCCTAACTGAAAATGTTAAAAGTTTACACATAAAATACACATAATACAACGTTTGCATTTAAAAATACCTAAGTTAATAGTCCCAAAAGGTGAAGCCGGTTGTAATTGGGATTTTGATTTTGATAGCGGTTTTGATTGCGTTTTGCTTGACACCATATAAGCTTTGGATTTTGATGAGGATCCAAATTTTGGTAGAGGAAAAGATGATTGTGATGGCATTGGTGATCCACATGTCAACCTTGTATGACCACTTTCCTTGCACCGACTACATGTCGATCTCTTCTTCTCTTCACCCTTAGACGGTATACGATCGTGACTTTTTGGTCGGCCAGGTAGCCTTCTGTCCATGGCTGGTGGTAAAACTGTTTGTAAGTCATCTGGTATGTCCCACTCAGAAGGATGTTGAATAGGGTAGATAATCTCGGCATAAGTCTGTCGATATACTTCTATAGTGTAGCAATCCATAGCGTATGCGCTTGAATCATCTTGGTTTAGATGAAGAGCAACTTTTATAACATGGCCACACAGATAACCAGATGTTTGTCATTTCATACAACTACACGTCTTTGCATTTAGATCGACAAGCCCATTTAAGTTTTTATCCAGTACTTCAAACAAAGTGTTTGAACATTGTTCAACTCTCCATGACGTTGACTTCACAAAACATTTTGTTATCTTTTTTTAAGTCCATGGTGTAACACGATGTTCCAATGTTCCTGTAAATTTAAATAAATAATACTTAGTAAAATATATGATAAGTTACGAATTTAAAGAAATAATACTTGCATGATTTCTTTTCTTGTAGTACCACTATTGAATAGAGGCTCGAAAAAACTCCATTAACATAGTAATGGGTAATTTTCGGGAATGACGACTTAGAGCGTTGATTGATTCTGCACTATTATACGTCATGAAACCATATCTTGCTCCAAGTTGATGTACTCTTGACCATCTTTCAAACCCGACATCTTCTAGTGTTTGAGCACACTGAGGCAAAACACGTCTTAAACAATTTATATGCTTATTAAAATCCACTTCCCGATAAGCTTTTACAGCCTTCCAGTATGTTCATTTGTGATTTTTTATACCAGCAGACCTTGGTTTTAGATTTCTATACAAATGAACACCATAAAGTCCATGAAAAGCATCTGGGAAACACCTTCTAACAGCATTGTCAATTGAGTTTGCCCTATCGGATATGATTGTTAGATTGCTAATATGACCTATGCAATCCCTAAGATGCCCCATAAACCATGTCCATGAATCAGAGGTTTAAGATTTGCCAACCCCGTAAGCTATTGGCAATATCCCATTGTTAGCATCCATGACTACTGCTAATAAGTTTAATCCAAGGTATCGACCTTTCAAATGTGCTCCGTCAACTATAATAAATGGGCGCATGCAAGTAATAAACGAACGAATCTACAAAATAATATACACAAGAAATATAATCATTTAAATGTGAAATGCATGTAACTAACAAAAATGAGTCAACAAAATTATATTGATTTACTAACCGCAACACCAATGGCGATAAACAGCAACTCAAAGCGTCCATCTCTATCTGTTTTGAAATAAGTTACCGACCCAGGATTTTTCAGCTTTAAATTGTGACAATAAGCCGGCAGTTGGGCAAACGATGCTTCTGGCGACCCCCTCAACAATTCCAAGGCATAACATTTGGCTCTCCAAGCTTGAGAATATGAGATACTAATCTTGAACCGAGCATTCATGTCAGTCATAATTTCATGTCCCCGATATACCCTGCCATTCAAAAACATTAACTCAGCCAGAAAACCACCCAACACCTTTTTGTTTGCCTGTCTATGGTGAGGAAAAACTTGGGTTCTTGAACATGTATGTTTATCAATAAAAGTCCTAACTTGAAACATTTCGCAATCTTTTATCCTCTTTGCAATCATACGCCACGTACAGTTTTTGTTAATCATACACCTTATTTCGAAACGATCTTTGCTTGATTTGTTAACTTTTAGTTGATAGCCATCTTCTACACATTTTGTATACAAAGCTATCTTCAAGTCTTCCTTTGTATCAAAACAATCATCTTTCTTGATACGAATAATTTTTGTGTAACAATCAACTGTTATCTTTACCAACTCTTCTTCCGGTATCTGAAGTAATTCTGGCATATTCCAGTTATACTCCCGTGGCATTTTCTTCGGGGACTTTTCTTCGGGGATTTCTTCTTCTTCTTTTTCTTCTTCAGGGTTATATGAATTACAGAATTGATGTTCAATATTTTTATTCACAGTCGTAACTTCCTCCTCATTATCATCAACAACATCTTCCTCGGCAGCGGCTGTTTCATCATCAAAATTCGGGTATTGACCAATATCAAAATCATTACACACAGGGTATGTTTCTTCTTCTAAAACATCATCAAAATCCGAGTATTGACCAAGATCAAAGTCTGGGTATTGACAAAGATCAAATTTCGAATACTGACTAGTACTTACAATTTTTTTTGTTGGCTCATCATCGTCTAACTGGTCAATACGAAAACTGAAATTTGGTGCTGAAAGTTGATTGGGATTTAGATTAGGGAAATGTTGTGGGTTTTGAGATTGTGTTTGGTATTGGAAATGTGGTGAAACAAAATTTTCTTGGTGATGAAATTGTGGTAGAACCATTAAATTTTGAGCACCATAAACTGGGGTTGAAAAACTTAGTTGATTACCACCTGCTACTGACCCAACTTCACTACTTCTAGGTTCAACAACATACAATGTAACATTATCTTGCGAAACACTAATGTAAGTAATGAATCGTTCAACATCTTCATTGTCAGTTAACAAATAAACTTTACCTTTTCTCTGATAAGATAGCCTAAATCCACTTAGGGGCTCTAAATTCAATTTATTTGTAACACGTAACATTAGAGTTTCATAAGTTAACTTTTTTAATGACAGTTTTAGTTGAAGATTCATGGGTAAAGGCATATATTGCAAAACACCATGAACATTCTCCCATGACCCTCCAAAACACAAATCTATCCAAACATGATCAACATTAGATGATTTCATTATTGTAAATTAATTTACTAAACAAACGAGTTGCGAAACTAAAACATGTTGCCGGATGGGGAAGGATATCGTTGGATATAGGATGTCGTTGGATATAGGAACAGATGTCGCCGGAGAGAGTGATAGATGGAGATGGAATGAGTTACGATTTAGGGATTTAGGTTATGAGTTACTGCTGCTGCATAGTTATATACCCAAAACATTTGTGTTGCGAAACTAAAACCTGTTGCGAATTTGAAATTCAGTGTTGCGATAGTCAGAATCGCGTTGTGATAGTCAGAATCACGTTGCGATTTTGTATTATCGCGTTGCGATTTATATATTCGCATTGCGATTTTCTAAAATCGCAACGCGAATTTGGAAAATCGCAATGGGATAGTCAAAATCGCGTTGCGAATATGGAAACTGATTTGCGATACTGGAGATCGCGTTGCGATTTAGAGATCACATTGCGATTTTGTTGGTCATTTTGGCAAATCGAAAAAAATTTGGTCAAAATCGTATATTATAAGGCTTTTTCGGTCACTGAGGTTATTTTCTCTAATTTAAATGTGTTTGGTTATGTTGAATATAGTTGGCATGTACTAAGTGATTGAGTTAAATATATTCTGATCGATTTTGGTTATTTTGGTCGATTTATGTAAATAAACTGCTTTTATTTTAATGAAAGTTTTAAATTTTCTTTGAATTTTGTCAAGAGTCAAAGTTTGAAAAGTCAATGTGACACCTCAGACTCGGATCCGGGTCGGGTACGAGTTGGGGGTGTTACAGAAACACGTGTTGTTGGGTTAGTTAATTCTCCGATGGTTAAGCATAATCTATCTAATTTAATTGAGAAGGTTTCGACTCTCACTAATAAGGGGGCTAGTCGGTCTTCTGGTAAAGCTTCGAAGAAAGACAAGCAATCTAAAAAGAAGAAGTCGTGTGTCAAACGTCGGGTAAAGCTGCATAAACCAAGTAGCTTGATGATTGGATCGGGCAGTCAGGGTGGAGATATGTTCGTTCATTTTTCGGGGTCTGTAAGTGAAGCCGAAGCTTCTTTAGCAGTTGGTGAGGCTCTGGGGTGGAATTTTCAGCTTTGAAACAAGAGATTATTGAGATATTGGTGTTGATTGAGCATTTTGGGTAAGTTGTGAAGTTTTTTCACAGATGGTGTTTGTTTTGTATGTTTATTTCTTTATGGAAATGGGTTTTTCTATTCTAACTTGGAATGTTAGAGGATTGGGGAGAAGTATTAAATTAAGAGATATTAGTCGAGTTATTGATTCGAATAAAGCGAGCATAGTCATGCTGCAGGAAACTTAACTTGCGGATGCGCCGGTGTCTGTAGTAAGAAAGCTTATAGGGAGGTACAACATGCATCTTGTTTTTGCATCTGCTGAAGGAGCGTCAGGGGGGCTTGTGTCGTTGTGGGATTATAGTGCGTTTACTTTAGGAAGGCAAATCGTCCTGAAGAGAATTGTGGCTTTAAAAGGATTATTAGTTCAGAATAATTTGGAGATCGGTATCATCAACGTCTATGGTCCGAACGTTCAGGGGGAAAGGGTGGAGTTTTTCGAGCAATTAAATGACGTTATAGTAAGTCTAAATTCACCCGTTATTGTGGGGGGTGATTTCAACACAGTTATAACTGAATCTAAAAGATTAGGGAGTCAGTATCATTCTGCTGCGTCGAGCATTTTCGAAAATTTCATTTCTGGATGGAGTTTGATAGAAGTCCTTATTTCGGGTAGTGTGTTTACGTGGTTTAGGGGAGTTACTAATGTTGATGCAAGCAGGCTAGATAGAATCCTTATTTCAACAGAAATTACTTGTGAGTTTCCGCATTTGATGCAATTCGCTCTTCCCAGAAGTCTATCGGGTCATAATCCTGTTTTACTTAAAGACAGGAAAATAAAGAAATTTTACAGGCCTTTCAAATGGTTTAATCATTGGGTTGATGATCCTTGTCTATCGGATAAAATTATAGGTGTTTGTATGGCTAACAAGGGTAAAAGCATGTTCCAAACTTTTTTGTTGGTTAAGCATGCATCTAAGGAGTGGGAAGGAGCTGTTTGTAATAATATTTCAGATTTAGTAGAAGCGCTTAGAAGTAAAATTGATTCTTTAGAGAAAATTTGTATATCAAATCCTACAGATAACTTAGCCCAAGCTGAACTCGTGTCTTCAAAGGCTAGATTGTGGGCTGTATCAAGGAGGGAAGAACGTGAGTGGTTGCAGAAATCAAAACTCAAGTGGTTCAAGGAAGGTGACAAAAATACAAAGTTTTTCCATATAACAGCAGCATCAAGAGGTAGAATTAATCATATTTCGAAATTGAAGGTGGATAATTCGGTTTTCAAAAATCAATTAGGGATTCAACAAGCTTTTGTTCAATACTTTCGTAGAGGTTTTAATGCAGTGAGTACTCTCCCAATTAAGAAATTTGATATTCCTTTGAAGAGATTAAATGTTGCGTCCAGAAGGATTATCGAAAGTCCTTTTTCTGAATAGGAGGTGTGGCTTTCAATTAAATCATCCGATGGGTCAAGAGCTCCGGGTCCGGATGGGTTCAGTTTGGATTTTTTTAAGAAATTCTGTATGATAATTAAAGAAGACGTGATGAGATTTATGGCTGATTTTTATTCGGGTAGGGTTGTTGACCCTTCATTTAATAAATCCTTTATTGCGCTAATCCCGAAGAAAGTTGATGCAATGTCACCTGAAGATTTTACACCTATTTCCTTGGTGGGCAACATGTATAAAATTATGTCTCGCGTGTTGGCAAAGAGGTTGTCAAATTGTATGAATGAAGTGATTAGGGAAAACCAGTTTGCTTTTATGGTTGGTAAACAGATGGTCGATTGTATTCTGATTGCGAATGAAGTAATTGATGAGCTATTTAAAAACAAAAAAGAAGCGATCTTATTCAAGGCGGACTTTAGTAAAGCTTATGACTTAGTAGATTGGCAATTTTTGAATTTTATCTTGAAGAAAATGGGTTTTGGCAGAAGATGGAGAAAATGAGTTCATTTGTGTATTTCGACCCCCTTGATTGTCGTGCTTGTAAATGGGTGTCCCTCTAATAATTTCTCTATTAAGAGGGGTCTTAGGCAAGGTTGTCCGTTGTCGCCGTTTTTATTCAATATTGTTGGTGAGGCTCTTAGTAGCATGCTTAAGAAAGCGATGGAGCTTGATCTATGTGAAGGAATTCGAGTTGGGTCTGGAAGCATTGTCTTATCACATATTCAATTTGCGGATGACCTACTCATCTTTTCGGAAGGTGATGAACGTCAGTTAAAAAATTTCTATCGCGTTCTTAAAATTTTCGAAGTGGCGGCTGGTTTGAAGCTTAATCTAAACAAGACGAAGATTTTTTGGATTAATGTGGAAGAAGAAAGAGTAAGAAGGTGGGCAGATGCTATTTCTTGTGGTTGGGCAGGTCTTCCTTCGACCTATTTGGGTCTTCCTCTTGGTTTTAAAAGGAATTCCAAGTCTTTTTGGAAACCTATTGTGGACAAAGTCAATTCTCATTTAGATACTTGGAAAGGTAAACTGCTTTCGTTTGGGGTAGACTTACGTTGATTAAGTCTGTTTTGGCTAATTTACCTGTTTACTTTATGTCTATTTTTCGGCTATTCCTTCTGGAATAGCCGATTGGTTAAATAAATGTGTAGCTAACTTTCTTTGGAATCCTAAGTCAGCTAGAGGTATTCATTGGATTAAGTGAAAAAAATATTTGTAGACCAAAATCTCATGGTGAGTTGGGCATTTTTGATGTTAAAAGTAGAAACTGTGCCTTGCTTAACAAATGGATTTGGCATTTTAGCGAGGATAACAACAGCTTATGGAAAAAGTTTGTGGTTGCAAAGTATAATTATGATCAGGATTCGCTTATTCCCAAAGCTGTGAATGAGCGAAATGCTTCTTGAGTGTGGCGCAAAATTGTCAATCTGGTAGGTTCCAATGAGGTGGCTTTTCTATCTGAATAGAGGTGTGTCATGGGCGACGGTTCTAAAATTGATTTCTGGTCTGATTTCTGGACTGAGGTGGTTTCTCTCAAAGTTTCCTTTCCCATAATTTTTGGGTTAGCCTCTTTGAAAACTGGGAAGATATGCGATTTTGGTTTTTGGGCTAACGGAGTTTGGGAATGGAGAATTGTATTGAGGAAAGCTCTTTTTGATTGGGAAAAATCTCTCTGGATTGATTTTATGCTGGTCTTGAATAGGGCTGCTAGTGCAGTCTCAGCGCATGATAGACTATTTTGGTCAGGTTCTAAGGATGGGCGTTATTATTCAAAAGTGTTATGTTCTAAGCTGGCTTGTGTTGGTAAGGTGGAATATCCAATTTGGAAAAAGGTTTGGCTGAAATTTGTCCCCCTAAAGTTTCTATTTTTGTTTGGAAAGCTATGCATCGTAGGTTGCCGATTATCGTTGAGCTGGCAAAACGTGGAGTATTCGGTAATGTTATGCCTCTTTGTTCATTTTGTAATAGCGATTTGGAAACAATTAATCAAGTGTTGTGTCATTGCAACGTTGTTTGGCAAGCATGGCAGCGATGGTGCAGCTTGTGGAGATTGAACATTATTTTTCCTTTGAATGTTAAGGAGTTATTCGAGGTCTGGTTCTCGCAGAATATAAGGAGGCATGTCCGGGATTTATGGTACCTTGGTTTCTTTGGCCTGATCTGGAAAATATAGGTGTGCAGGAACAAAGCTAGATTTAATGGGTGTTCTTACTCGGTGGATCAGATTTTTAATGTTGCTTTGATTCAGGTGGCGATTTGGGCAAATTTCTTATGGCCGGAAATGATCCCTTATGCTCAAGATTTTGTTCGAAGTCCGGAATCTATTATTTTCTGTGGAGGTGGTTAATTGACGTTAGTCAATGGAGCTGGTGTTGTCTTAATATTAGCTTGGTTTGTATAGTCTGCGGTTGGTTGGTTGTGATTCCGCTGGATGCTTTTGGTTGTCGATTTCTTGGTTTGCTGTTGGTCTTTGCTTCCAGCGTATAAGGACATGAATCATAGGTGCTGTTTCGTTGTTTCTGTTTTCGGAATTGTGTTTCGAATGAGGATTTTGAGACCATAGTATGCTGGCGTGATGTGAATGGATTGTTTTTTCGTTCTTTGCTGTCTATGTTTAACTTTGAGTTCAGGGTTGTTCGTTGTTGTTTGATCACCTGGGTGATGCCTGAGAGTTAAGAACCGTGTCATCCTTTGTTGGCTGGTGCTATGCTTGTTTCATTATTTCCTGTTTCAGGGTTGCCGAATCAGTTCTCTGTTGCTGGGTGGGTTCTAAATTCTGCTGCGGTGATGGTTTAGTCTTATAGCTGCTGTTTTTCTGTTCTATTTCATCCTAAGTGGTTAGGAACGAAATGGTATGAGCTGTGAGCGGGAGAGTATTGTTTTTCTTGTTTATGGCTACTTGGTGTATGTAATTTTCTGGCTTTCATTCTAACCACCTCAAGTTACACTCTTTTTCCTCTACTTAAGGTTAGGGAAGTTTTTTTAACGAGGTCCTTGAGGTGGTGTACTTTGTGTCGTTATTAATACAAAGTACCCTATTTAAAAAAAAACATGCATCTGAGAGAAAATTATGAAAAAAATAGAGTAATTAATTCTGTATAACTCATAAATACTTTTACAATCTGAATGTTTGAATCATAATGTTATGGTTTCTATAATTGAATATTTTGTAAACTTTTATGTAGAAATAACACGAAATAGTTTACCCTAAATTCTTTATTTGCTAAATCTAGACCGCTTATGAACAGATTTACATATTTCTTAATTTTCAAAAATTAACAAAACCCAAAGGGCACAATTGCATAAAGAAGAAAACTTTCATAGAGTCATTGACGGATTCACAAGTATTTTTTAGTGTTACATATATATATTTAATAAAATAAATTTTTTGAATATGATAAACACAAATAAAATTTTAGAATAGACATCATCAGTAAAATAGATAATTAATTGAAAAAAACTTGAATTTTAAGATGAGCACAAATAAAATTTCAAGTAGATACAATCAGTAAAATAAATAATTAATTAAAGAAAATTTAATTTTTAGGGTGTAAAATTGGAGAGAATTATTTGATCTGAATCCTTCCGATGAAGAAAGTAAAACTGGAAAGAAGCGTGATAAAATGTTGCCAGTCTTTTAGTCCCCCCCCCCCCATATATTATGTAATTGCATAAATCGTTATTATTATTTTTTATTTATTTAAGAGGCTTGTTTTTAACAGGCCCGTCCATTGTTTAAAAATCGGAGAAAATTTGCCCAAATGGTCGATCCATTACTTCAGGGACAATATCCGGAGAGGGGTTTGTACCCTGCTCTAGCTGTGGCTGCAATGTGTTCAAGAACAGCCAAATATGCGGCCACTAATAGCCAATGTAGTCACTGCCCTCACCTATATTGCGTCGCAAAGAATGATCCCAGAACTCATTCAGTTCAAGGATCTCGGACCAGTTCTTCCACTCCAAGAATGAGACGAGAAATAATTCAGGTAAAGCGGAATCAACCATTTACTATTATGAGAAAAATTGAATTCATTGGCAGCTGATGATCGATATTAAGAAACAACAGGTTCTCGTATGTTTGAGATTTATGATTCTTCGGCCTGGAATTCGCTGCCAAGCGTGGAATTTTGCAAATCCTGATAGCCCGTCCGATTACCGTCCTCACCTTGTCTAATGTAACAGGAGTTTCCTCCATTTTTTTTTGTTTTTGGTTGAAACCCTTTCGGCATCTCATTTTCTCCAAAAAATTGTTCTTGATGTACAATTGAGCTTTTGTATGCAAAACGTCTTTTGATATACAAACTGCCGTTCCCATGTTGATGAGGGGCGAAATAGCAAGTAACAAAAGGTTTTATTCATTTTGGTTTAATTATAAAAAGAACCTCCAACTAATCATTCGAGGTTTTATCTTTTTATTGCAATCCACTGAACCCTCAACAACATTTATTTCCCTTCATTTTAGTCCTCCACTATCTATTTTGATATGATACTCAATAAACTTATAAGTTGATTTTTTTTCTTGGAACTTATCAAAAAAATTATCACATTCATTGCTGTGTGAAATAATATTTGCCTAACATATTTTAAATAAATGTCGAAATTATTTTATTCTTTAAGGATCTACATTTCATTATATTCAAAATACTCTTATTTGATTTGCTTTTAAATATACTCTTATTTTAAATAAAATTTAGTTTTATTTATGCCAAATTTTATTTAAATATAAATTAAAAACTGAATACTCATTTATACACATTAGATGTCAAAGAACTATTTGAGTGTAATAACAATATAAGAAGTAACATATTGGATATTGGGTAGCTCCAAATCGTCATCAAATAGTTGCTTTGCAAAAAATAAAAAATAAAAAAAAATGTTGCATTTATTTATTTATTTATTTATTTTAAATCTATTTAAGTTTTATTCCACAATTGAGTTTTAATATAACAATAATTTAATAATAACGAAAGCAAAATTGAGGAACATATTCGACCAATACTAAAGTGACCCAAAATATAAAAATGAAATATTAACTAGAAATTGAAAGAAAGAAAAAGGGGGAAAACCATACATATACTTACAGTTGATTTTCTATTCTTGTCTCTTGGTATTGCATTTCCTCTACTTCTACGGACAAGCATTATTGGTTACAAATGAAAAATAATGGCTACGAGTATTATTTTGGTTTTCCGATAAAAAATACAAAGGGCAAACTTATTGATTCTACTGCATTGCTGATGCTAAATTTCAATATTTTATTTACCATGGCTACTTAATGGATGAATTGCAGACATCAAATGAAGGATTCGGCGATGTATGCAGGTATTTAAACAAGACATACCAGCACTTCTCTCACGCCTTATCTTGAACTTCGATTCTATCTGTTTCCTCGTCATTTGTTTCCTTGCCGTTTGTTTCCTTATCGATTGTGTCTTTCTGTTGGATTTCAGTATTCTGATCCACGTTTGAGGGCTTCCCGTTGTTCGGTGCATCAGCATTACCTGGCTGTCCCTGTTTTGTTGGATATTGTTACGATAAGGAAATGTATATATCTTTCTTGATTCGTTACTTTGTTATGCCAATTGTTGAGTCATCCCAGCATTTCAATCAAACAAACCACAGTCAGCTTATCAGTAAAACTGAGAAAACAAACCTTGTTTCTGTCACGCCAGCCAAGTCCAAATGGTCGGGAAAGTAAACTAATCTTCCGGGCAGGAATTCTTGTTGGGGCTCTTGGTTGCTGCGTGCTGGTGAATTCAGATGTGGTGATCTGTTATTTTATAATTATTAGAAGGGAGAAACCTATCCACAAGCATGATGAGTAATGTCGTTGCAAGAAATAGAAAGAGTAACATCACAGAAAAACAGTATAATGTTGTCATCACCAAATCTCTGGCTCCAGACACATATACACAGCCGATTAAAAATTCGCAAGCATAAAAAAATTGAAATTGGAGAAAGGTTAATTACGCACCGTGGAGAAGGTTGGACTTTACTTTGACCAGACTGGTACTGTAAGGTAGCCTCCAACATTGATTCTGCCATTACAACTTTTTCTCCATTTCAGCAAGTGAAGCAACAGCCTCTTCATACTTTTCCTGCATTAAACAAATGATGATGAAACCAAATAAACGTATATTCAGTACTAGCATTGCTTTCTTTCTCTTTTTTGGGGGAGGGACTTGTCCTAGAAATGGAAAAGAGCACGTTATTGCAAGGTATGCAAATGGTAATTAAACTATGCTGAAATGATTGTTTTGTCACAACTTTTAAAAATTACAAAAAATAAACATTAAAGTTTTGATTTTGTTATAAGATGGGCACCTTTCCATTAGCTGATGTTGAGGGGATGACATGTCACATTAAATTATTGGTTAATATCTCATTTGGTCCCTCAATTGTAACA